AAATTTTCTCATGTTCTTCTCTCGTTTACCTGAATTTGGTTACAAGTGACGTCAATCATCAATCATATCGCAGGTAAGCAAATATTATTAGGTTTTCTTTTCTAAACACAGAAACACAAAGAAACAAATTACCTAAGTCTTTCACAATTACAGAGCTGGCCAAGGATGCAATATCATACATAATATCAATGACATGGATCTTCGAAGGTCTGAGATTGGTAAGGAATTCATTCTCATAGCACTCATGTTTCTCAAGCATGGGTTATTTTTCAAAATACAGTTAGCAGGATATGATTCTGAAACTCACCTACCAATATCCTCAACAGACCTCAAATATAGACACAAAGCTCCTGGTAACTTTAAAAGATGAAGAGAGGTGACCTTTGAAATGAATAAAGAATTTGGGACTATGGAAAGTATCTTTATAGTTATTGAAGTTATCATTAGAGATTATTAAGGGAGAAGTTTCTCCTCCCTTAATAATCAGGAACTTTAAAAACATCAACTATACAACATTAGGTCATCTGACAAATAGTAAATAGGCAATCAATGAAAGTTAATTATCAACACAAATTACTTATGGGTTTCCATCCTCAATCAAGGAGCTATCCTCAATTGGTACCTGCTTGCAGAGGAAGATTTATTTTCTTCAACGGCATCTCAATTTGTATATTAACCTCAATTCAGGATATCGCCTATACCCAGAACTGCATGGTCAACACAAAAGAAAGTCAAAGATATTTTTATAGACCTTTTGTCTCATGTTGCTTTTTTCCAGGATTTTTGTCTTACTGGTCTTTTGCTTGTATAATCTGGTTTCCAATTTTGTGGATTTGTGTGTGTGTCCTGTGTATGAGTTTGAGTTTATTGTTTGTTTCTCTGAGAGAGAGAGGATATGGATTTGGTTGGTTAGGGAGGTAGAGAGGATCTTGGAAGAGTTGGGGTAAGGGAAAAGACTGATCAGGATATACTGGATTAAAAAATTGTTTTCAAAAAAAAAAAAAAAAACCCAACAACAAAAAACTCAGAAGCAACCAAAAAACCAACCAACCAAACAAAACAAAATTCTACTAGTCCATGATTTTAAAAAGAATAAGGAAAAGGAGAAACTTAAATAAGATCCTAGCAAGCTATTTCTTTTAAGTCAGCCTCAGGACTAGAAGTTCAGCTTGGTAGTATAGGACTTGCTTAACATGCACACAGCTTAGACCTACATCCCCAGATATCTCAAGAAAAAAATACCACAAACAACAAACTTCCAAGACTAGGGGTTGTGATGAGCATGTTAGCACTGAAAAATAAATATTTCCTTGACTATGATCTTTAAACTTTATGGTTATATAAAAATAGTATGCTCAATCTATTTATTTTCCTCTTTCAGAGACTCATGCAGCTTAGGCTGACTTTGATTTTCGGATCCTCCTTCCTCCACCTTCCAAGTGCTAGGATTACAGCTATGAATGCCGTGCCTGGCTCTTTGTTTTATGATACTATAAAATGAATTTCATTTGCTTCCCTTATTTTACAGATGTAGAAAAATCTACCTCCAAATGTGGTATCTGTAGGTTATTTAATGTCTTCTATATGAAAATATCTGAGATTAAGTAATTCGTAAGTAATAGAAATTTCTCATAGTTCTGGAGGCTAAGAATCCAGGATGAAGGCACCAAGAAATACATGTATGGTGATAATGGTTTGTGTCTTCCTACGGCAGAGCCCAAAAGAGCAAATAGGTAGGTAGGTAGGTAGGTAGGTAGGTAGGTAGGTGTGTGTGTGTGTGTGTGTGTGTGTGTGTGTGTGTGTGTGTTTGGGAGGATCTGAGCTCTTTTTGTTCTCTAGTGTTTTTATAAGGAACAAATTTCACACATCAAAGAAGATTTATTATTCTTATGTCCAATCACTTCCAAAAGGCACCACTACTTTATACTGTTATATAGCAGATTATGTGTCAACAGAAAGAATGGATTCAGGCCATAGCAAGAGGAATAATGAGTGTTATAAACTGAGGGAGACTGAGGTAAACTCAGACGGCAGAACCTTCTGAAGGAGGCCACAAAATCTATAATTGCATAACTCTTCATCTCAGGAGCAGGCCATAAAGAAGCTACAAAGATTATTCTCCTAGTCTTCCCTAGTCCTCAGACATGTGACATGTGACATGTGCCCTGATCCCTACTCAGAGAGGTAAGGAATGTCATGTGGAAAACCCAAGAAGTATTTGAACAAACATCTTGCTAAATAATCTCTCACCCCTCTAATTTATTAGGCTTGGAACACATCCTTTTGTCTTTGATTTGGAATTCTATGTAAAAATCTATAAAAACCAGTCCTCCCTACCTTTTATTTCTGCAGGCTCCCTCCTATAGCTGGTAGCACATTTATTAACTTTATAGTTCCTCACTTAATCTGTCTTTTTTATAGGCATGTTAAGCCCATGCATCCTGCAATGGGTAAAGAAAGAGATTTTTTTCTTCCCTACACTATTTTATTCTGATTCAGAAATAAGAAATCATTTAGATAAAAAGGAGAAAAAAAGTGACATACTTTGTTATAAGGCTGTTGGCTTCAAAGGTAGAAGTAGGGCAACTACATTCACAAGAGAGCATTGCTTTTAATTTTTTGAGACAATGTATTTTGATGTAGCTGAGGTTGGACTGGAATTTATGGTAATCTCTCTACCACCCTAAAATCACTGAGATTTCAATCTTGCATCACCATACTGGTACCTTGAGGGCTATCTATTTTTCTACATTTAAACAAAACAAAACAATTACTTTAGAATACATGGATCATAACTAAAATTGACCATACTTGCTAAAAATGCAAGACCTAATACAGTGATTCAGTGTTACCTAAATACTTCATAAGATTTACATGGATAATATTTTAGAAATAATTATTAGGCAAACTTAGTAATTCTTAACAATATTCCTCTAGATGGGGAAAGTCAAAGAATGGGTTTGGATTCCATAATTCCCAATGACTTTACATACATTTGCTGAGTGTCTACATTGTGCTATGTGGTAGATATTTGATAGGTATATTGAGGTTAACAAATCTGATAAAACCTCTGCTAAAGGAACAGTATACAGAGAGATTGTAAATGCCAAGCTGCCAGCAGACTATGGTTGAGATTTCTGTAGTATGTACTGTAATTGTTTAATAACCTGCCAATGTCTAGGTATAATAAGCATTGAATTAATGTGTGAAAGAGTAAGGGTAAGTATGAGGTACTGTTGGACGTAGCCTGACCTGGCCATCCAGTGAAGATTCAATCCATATGTTCAGTAACTATCATGCCATTGCTGTTACCCATAGTGCTATTGCTACTTAAAGAGGTCATAGATATTTTAATACACTTTTTAATCCCCTTGTAGACAAACTGTCACACTTTGGCACCACTTAAATGAAGTACAGTTATTTATCAGTAACATACAGATACAGAATAGTCTCAGTTTTCATTTTAAAATGTTTAATTACCTGCATATAAAGAGAAATAAAATAGGAAAATTAAGTCAAATACATGAGGGTTTGAAAATATTTCTTTCTCAATCTGTCTGCGTGTCTCTGTGTCTGTGTCTGTCTGTCTGTCTGTGTCTTTCTCTCCCTCTCTCTCTCTTTCAACATGAGCAACAAAGACTCAATGATGCAAACTGTTGTGTAGGCTACCAGCCAACTGTAAAAGAAAATACTCCAGAGAGCAAGGGGCTCACAAATTAACTTTAACAAATACGATACAAGAGTCAACATGAAAAGGTGAAAAAAATAAGCATAATCACTGAAGTGAAAGGTTCATATTAAGTATCCCAATGTGTTCAGTTATAAAATCCAAGGGTACACAAGGACTGCCTGCTTGCAATGGCTTACAAACTCTTTCATCCAATATTCCTGTTTACAAATGTAGCATCATTAAAGTACCACACAGCATTAACCTATGAGGAAAAAATAAACGTAGAAAATAATTTTTATATAAATGCCAGATACCAGTCTTAAGTAATTTTTACATTCAGTGCCATAATGTCTAAGTTGCATAAGAAAGAAAGAGAGAAGAGGAGAAAAAGGCGATAGGTTTAACCTTGAAAGAAGATGACTACCATACAGTTGCTGAAGGAATTTACTTATTATCTGATGAAGAAATTGCAGTATTTATTCCCTTTAGAGATATAAACTAGTGAATCAATCTGCAGTTCAAGATACACATTTAAACCCAGAGGAAGAGGATATGGCTTTTACTTCAAAAAATCCAGAAAAGAAAAAAAATCAGCTCTGAATATAGTTTGCCTTCAGACAACAGCTTAACAACATTAAACAATTCAAACCAAATGTAGTTACTCTCAAATGCATAATGCATATATATGTATCATATGCATGTGTGTGACTTATCCATATATTGTATTAAAATGAGTTTCCTAAATGTTTATGTAGTAAGAAATATTTACTTTTTCTTTATACATATAATACAGTTGACTTAAATACATCAGTTATTTATCAGTTTGTTTCTCTTTCCATTCATACATCTCTACATTTATCTTTCAGTCTTCTGATTCTGATTCTGATTCAGTCTTTGATTCTGAAAATGCATGCATACTTTCAGAAATTGCACATGAATGTACCCAAAGAAGTAAAATTATAACCCTTCCTCCCAAAATCATTTTCTCATATTGATTCTATTCTTAAGCATTTGGTTCCAAAAGACGGTTATTTGCTTTATTCTTTCAGGTATAATCAGACCTTCTAAGACTTACCTTGCATATCTTGTGGGATTTCAAATAAAATTTGTCTTTGATAAATGGCAACTTTTCTGGTCTAATTGTCCCCTTGCTTACTCTACCAGGTTCAAAACATTCTGAAATGAAATTTATGTTGGTTATATAAAAGCACCTTATACACAAATTCATCTAATGGTGTAGGCTAGTGAGACTAGAACTAACTACACAGTAAATAGATGAACAGACAGCTACATAGACAAACTCATAAACAAATGCTTAAATAAAGGATATCATCATCTTTTCCACAAACTTATCATGGTGACTTTCTGCTTTGGGGAAATTCTTGATGTTACGCTCCAGATGAAGAATGTTTTGTTCCATCGCTGCTAGGTTGCTCTTGAGAGTTTGAGCTGAAACTAAAGAACATTGTGCAAAGTGTTTAGAAACTTTTACTAGGCATACCATAAAACAACCAAAAACAGTATCTGAGGAATGATTTTTTTTTTTAATGTGGACAACTGTTCCATGAAGTCATTTCACATTTTTCAGAATTACAGCTCATAAAAATTCTACTCTTTATGAAGTAAATGTAAGTGTGTAATGTAATACGTCAAATCATCACATTGAATATGGCAATGTCACCATTATACTCAGCCATTAGTTCTGATGAACCTATTCCTATTTAAGTTTATTGATGAGACACCTAATATTTCATTCTTTAAAATCTAAATTGAAGACTAACGGATCACTAAGGTTCAAAGAGATCTTATATTATTAATGCATGTCTTTGGTTATTTAAATGAGGTGAGGTTAAATTATATAAAAGAGTAAAATGTTTTCTTTTTGGAAAACTCAGAATTATAAACCAACACCTGTGGTACAAATTCCACCTTTAAGATTTCATACTCAGAAGAGACATGTAAAATATCTGTTGCTACAGATGGTGAGTTTGGAGCAAACCCTAGTGAATACGTGTACACATACACGACATGCATGCATACAAAGCTTCAGCAGGTCTGCAAACACTATCATTACTTGTTTAATTACCCCTAATATTCTCTGTTCTTCTCCTTTTTTTCTCATTGACAACTAATAATTTATAGTGTTATATCCAAACTGCTCCTAAATACATGTACCCTTTTGGAAACTCTGATGGTGCTGTCAATTCTGGGATACATTAAAAAATAAGAAAGAAAAAAAATCTTATAACTATTTTCTACTACATTATGATATGACTGAATTGCATACACAGACACTTCTATTAATACAAACAGAATAAGATGAAATTCTAGTTGAGCAGACAAAGGAAGGTTTACAACATGATACAAAGCCTGTAACACTGGTTTTTAAATCCATACTTCTGAAACACTGTTTATATTAAAGACAATGAAACACAAATAGAGAAACACAGTTTCTATTCCAGTAAATTTTATCTGTTTTAGAGACATATCAGCAACACAATGAAAAATTTAAGAGACTGCCTAAATAAACCCTCTGGCAAACTTTAGTCAGATTATTCTGATCCAAATTCATCACCATGACAAGCTTACCTTTATAATTCAACAAGGAGAAATCAACTTAATATACATGGAAGTTCAAGAGACTGAAAATCAAATACTAACACTGAAGATTATGTTTTCTATTAATCTGTCAGTATAAATAGTTCTGTCCAATATAGCTCCATTTGTTTAGACCTGACAATTTGGAATGTATAACAATCACTGCCCATAAAGGATGAATTTACTATGAAAGTAATAATTCTGATTTTAAAACTGAATCTTTATCATGTGTTATTCTTTCTCTGTAGTCTTCCCAAGTATTGAAAATGTTTCTCTTTTCCCATCCTAAGTGATTACTGAAAAAATGAAAGATGTAAAATTGGTTGTTGAGTCACTTGAGTTACAAGAACATGGTGTGTGTGTGTGTGTGTGTGTGTGTGTGTGTGTGTGTGTGCGTGCATGTGGGTATGTGTGTGTGTGTGTGCATGTGTGTGTGTGTGGGAGGGGGTAGACATACCAGTCAAAACTATGGTAGTGACAGGTATCCTTTATGGAAGCAGTGCAGGAGCATCCTGATCTGTGAAAAGGAGGAAGAGAGGGAGGAAATATAGTCCTACACTCCCAATGTACTACATTGAACATGGATATTTCCTTGTTCCTCTCATATTACGATATAGTTCTCCATTCTTCATGAAATCAACTGAAAGCCAATTCTGAGGTCTGGGCTATTTTCTTAAGAAAGCTCCCATATCATAAAAAAATCATAATAAATTTGCAAAATTTTGTTAGCATATGTTTTCTTACTGAATTTTTAGTAAACAAATATTTTCAGTTGTACATAGATTTGTCCAGATTTGTTCTCTAAATTTTCTATGACTTCATTGTCACCTTCTATATTGCTCCTTAATTTGTCTTATAATTTTATTAAATCTTGAGCTGTGGCTGGGGTTTAGAACTAATATTGTTGACATGCAGTGTTCTTTGGCCTCAGGAGTTTGAAAGGCCTCAGAAACAACCACTCTTTGATCTATTCTGACAACTTCATTTAGTGAATCAAACTTTCCTTTTTCAAATGCAGCTATCTCATAGAAAATAGAAATTTTATTCCCCAAAAGAAGTCATAGTATCTAGAAAGTTCCTTCTCTTTTCTCTTCAAGACTTTCATTTTAGAAAATCGATGCTTTGTATGTGGGAGGAAGCATTGCCTATCAGAGTCTCTGAAAGTCTTGATGTATTGGCCCCACCATTCTATTAGTATTAGATTATCTACGTAACACTTCTACACAGCTCTTAGTTTCTGAAGGTTCCCATGTTTTACAAATACCAGCCATGCTTTTATACCCATTTATATAACCAAGATTTTAGGTAGCAGAGGTTACATACGATAGTGATTGGCAGTTAGTATATTAACTATTGTGCAAGTATTAAAAAAGTGCAGAATTGAAACCTGCCTATAAATCTGCATAAGATGGAAAACTGCTGGACTAAGTACAGACAATAGAAAATTATGGAAAAGGGTAAACGAAGAAAAGTAATGGAAACCTTTATTAGTTCCTCTGTATTACATTTGCAATGAATTATTAATATTGTAAGTAAACATAAGGGTAAAATACTCAAGACATAATAACCTGGTAATTCTAACATACGAGCAAATGCAAGCATTTGTAGCATTACATATTTTTATCTTTACATTGGGGAAAATCATTTTGACTCTTTGAAGTGTTATTAAAGGGAAATCAGAAAAAGGTCTTTTATCATGTCAAAGTCCCTGAGAGACAGAGCTTATGATACAGTTTGATTATAATTATTTATTGTGTTTGGAGGTAAAAGTGGGTAACTCCAGATAAACAGGCATGAAGAACAAAAGGAAAAAAGCAAATAGTACAGGGTTAAATTACTGAACTGGCCAAAGATTTACAACAACTACAGCTTGCTGCTTAGTTTCTCATCTTTTCATTACTTATTCCATGAGTATATATAGACATGAGAGACATATAGAATCACTTGGGGGGACCCATGCTTAAAAGTTCACTAGATTTGTTTAATGTTTGGTGTTACTTTTTTGGAAAATATTTTTTTTCAGTTCCAGTCCACATTGCCATTTTCACCTTTGGTTTTTACAAATTATATAGTCTTTACCTACATAGGCAAACAAAAATATCCCATTTCACTAACCTGCTGGCTTCTTTCAACAAATGTTTCTAAGAACTGCATTGTTCTGGGTTTGGAGTTGGTTGTGCATGTATGTTAACAAAAGAGTACTTAGGAACTCTAGAGCACAGGATTCCTTATAACCTAAGTGGCTTGTTGGTTGGGGATATTTTTGACACTTTATAGCTTTTAATTTTTAAATAATTAAACAAAATAAGCATTCTTAAACTATTAGCCATGAGTCATAAGTCTACTCTTGATTTTGCAGGAAAAATATTGGTTACATCTTAATCTAGTCAAGCTCCAACTCATTTCTTCATTTAGTCTTATAGTTTTCCTTGTGTATTCCATTTTCCTCCCCTCTATAATCCATCTCCCAGCATAAAAATTGTACTGTACACATGCTACTAAGAATTAAATAGTGTGGTCCCAATCTTAGAAAATAAGGAGACACCTCTCTTACTTCTTATCCTTATTGTGCTCTGATTGAATTCAATATTAGTACGCCTTCTAATCAAGGGGACTATGTTATGAGTGGGGTTTTCCCTGCCGGTCTGGTCCCACCACCATGCCAGCCCCAAATAACTCACAGAGACACTGTATTTAATACAAATTGTGTTGGCCAGTTATTAGTTTATTATCGGCTAGCTCTGTCTTAAATATTAACCTATTTCTATTAATCTAAGTATTTCCATGTGGTCTCATCTTACTGGAGAGAGACTCCGGCATTATTCTATCTCAGTCCTCCATCTTGAACCTTCTCTACTACTTTCTCTCTCCTCCTTGTCTCCTAGTCCCATCTATCTTGCTTCCCTATTGTCCAACAGTGCTTTATTCATTAACTAATAAGAGAAACATATTTACAGAATGACATCTCCCATCAAGACTAAACTTAATCTGTGCTTTAGGTACATATTCTATGCTTTAGGTACATAGACTTCACAAGGTACATAAATTTTAGATCTGGACAGCAATAATAATTATAGTAAGGAATAATTAATTTGTTAGAAATATACGGAAGTTCAAATTGAAAGAGCATCTTTAGAAACTAAACCATGTACAATAGTACCTGGCATATTTAAAAGTTATTTTGTCTTCATGGAGTTTTATAAAGATGTTGAGCAGGTCTAAAAGTGTTAAAAAAGAATGATCATGGGTTTATCTGTTGGATTACTAGGAACACATTGCTGTAATCTTAAAGATTAAGAGCTAGAGCCACTGAAATAACTCAATGGGTAAAATGTTTGCTACACATGCCTGTCAACCTGAGTTCAGTTCCTGCAAGCTACATATAAAGCCAGATGAAAAGGCAGGAATTATATAGAACAGAATGTAATTCTCACAATATCCATGGCAAGGCAGGAGAATCATCCAGAAATTTGCACGCAACATAAGCCAGAAGTTTGCAAGTAAGTTAAGCCTGGAGAAGGCTACAAAGCAACAGAAATGGGAATCTGCCTCCATCAAGGTGGAAATAGGAAACCTATTCCTAAAAGTCATCCTCTTCATGGACACATGGACACAATGCACACACGCGTCCACGCGCGAATGCATGCACGCGCGTACACACACAGAGTCAAGATCAGTAATGAATATTTATGTAACTCCTAGCCTACCTAAAAAAGAGATAGGGAGTGTGACTTTCACTGTTGCTGACAGTACCCTGTGTTCCAAAAATATTTAAGCACTATAGTTGGTTAGTAATGCTTCTCTACTGAATGGCCTCAGACTGAAGTTGTATTTTTGTGCCTGTCATTTTATTAGTC